TTAGGAGATAGTGACAATAGTGAGCATCGGAGGTTTCCGGAGGTGATCGTCAGAGGTTGTCGAAGGTTATCACCGACGGTAAAAGTACTCGTCAATGGCTAAAAGTGGGAGGTGGTAGGTCATGGCAGCAATTTCATAAGCAGGACTTGCAGGTAAATAAATCTGCTCAATAGGACAGGCCCGTAAGTCAATTTTTAATATTTAAGTTGAACATGGGATAAAGAGTTCTAACCCTGCCCAGTTTGCTTATTTATAAAATATTAATTATAATTTTAGATTACTTTAGTTATAAATAATGTAGAAAAATATATAACATAAAAAAGTATATATATACTTGTTTCTAGACTTAAATTAAAACATTTGTCAAAAATCATATTTATTTCACCATTTTATTTTGTTAGTATTCCAAATTCAAATAATAAATAAAAGAATCTAGATAATTTAATATTCATTAAAGATAAAAATTAAAAATTAATAGCTTATATTTATTGGGTTAGAGCAACTCCAAGGATAAAAAACAAAATGCCATGCAAAAGTACACAGAAAAGTACCTCTTTATATTTTCAGATTGTTTGACTAGTTTAATTAGTGCATACTTCCACCATACTTTTTATTTTAGATAATCAATCAAACTAACTTAACTAATTTTTTTGAAAAATATATTATAAACATAGATAAATGAATAAATAATCTTTTAATGACATGTTGCATATGTTGACGTGGCATTTGTAAATATTTTTAAAAATATATATATAATTAAATTGTTTTTAAAAATATATATTAAATCATTTAAAAAAATATTTTTAAACCATCATATTTCAAATGGTAATATACGAACACAAAACCAAATCAATTAGATGTAATATACAAACGTAAAATCAACCAAAAGAAAAGTACATGATTAGAGGGAGCAATTTTGGTGAGAAACGCTTTTGCCTCTCACTGAAAACTAGATACTTGTGGAGAATCAAAATCAAAATGGACATTTTGCCTCTTTTAATGCAGAGCCCCTTAGAAGAGAAGAAAATTAGTTGGACTAGTAAAAATGCCTAAGGGTGGATTTTTGCCTTCTCCCTTAGAGATGCTCTTAGGTGAGCGGATTTGAGATTTAAATTTTTTTAGAGATGTTCTTAGATGAGTGGGTTTGAGATTTAAATTTTTTTAAGACCGGGATTAGTATGACTAGGGGGTCATTTGGGAATGGTTAAAAGTTAAAAGCCAGATTTTTATCCATTTTGGATCACATCACCTCTCACGCAAAACGTTAAAAAAAAATTCAAAAATCAACTTTTAACCATCTTTCCAAAACACTCATAGATTATGATCCTCATACTTACATTTTTTTTTTTTTTTCTTCTTTGAACCGGAATCCTCATACTTGTACACCTAATATTTGGTCCCAATATAAACGCAATTGGCAGCGCATCATCCAATTAGCCCCACAAGTGGAAAATTTTATAGTGACAACCACATCAACAAATAAAAAGATGAAAGGCATAAAAACTTATATAGACCACATATTTCATGCTTGGCTGGTTCTCAAATTTGAGTGTGAAAATGATTGATCCAAAAATGAGTGTAAAATGGAAAACTCTACTTACTCAAAAATGAATTTTAACTGTTAAACTCACATGCAAATGAAATTTCATCAAAAAAAAATAATAATAAAATAAATAAAATAAATAAATTATATGAGGTAGACTAAAGGCCAGACCTATTTAAAAAACTAAAATCACGTCTCACCCATAAACCTAAATTTTACGGATCAAAATCAAATCGAACCAGACTATACATTTTTCATTACACTTATATTATTAAGTTCTACACAATTTTCATTCACACTTTTACTATTTTCATTAATTATTTTTCTTGTTTACTTTCTAACATAATTCATGTATTTTGTTTTTTTTTTTTAATATACATGTTTTACATCTCATATGATAAAAAAACAATCAAATAACATACAATACTACAAGTGGAAGGAAAGAAAAAAGAAAAAGAAAAAAACACTTCATATAAGAGAACAAAAAAAATCAAACTAAACATTAGACTTACTCATGTGGGCTTCATTAATGGGCGGACTCCGTTAACAAATTTTTGTTTAAAACTCTAAATCATCTTTTATGAGTTGGGACAAGCTGAACACTCAAGTGGACTGAAATGATCCATGAAATGAGTTGGTCAAGTTGAATAATACATTTTGTCCATGGACCATTTAGAGACCTTAAAGGTAACAAAAATAAGCATATGAACCCACAACACACTCTCATATTCAACATTGAACTATGCCAACAGAATTAGAAAAGCCTATTTGTTAAATACATAATTAAGTATAATGGACAAAAAGAAAGATTTATTAATGTAGGTAGATTTCGTCAAACCACATAAAATTTGGTAACTTCTTGTTCAATATTTATTTTTTCTTAATTAATTAATTATTTTTAACTATTAAATTAGCACATTATGTTACACCAATCAAAACTTATTTTTCTTACAAACTTTGATAGTGTGTGAATAGTACATACTACACCAACATATAATAATAATTTTTTCTTTTTTATAAGGATTAGGTAGAGACTAGAAGGAACAATGAGTCACAACAGCCAATATAGGAGACCTCTTGTGGACTGTCAAACCAATAGCTTCACTCATGTCCAAATCCTCTCCGCTTGCTCCATTAGGGACGGCAAAATCAAACTTGTACACATGATTTGCCAATGCAAGCTCATCCACTGCCATGGCAAATTGAATTCCAAGACAACCCCTTCTCCCAGCACCAAATGGAATTAGCTCAAAGTCGGGCCCGAATTCCTCTGGCTCATCCCATGACAATGGGTCTCTCCCAATCGCCCAAGCAATTGTAATTACTTGTGTGCCAGCTGCAATGTCATAACCCATTAACTTGACATCTCGGGTTGATCTTCGAGGAACTAGCAATGGAATAGGAGGATGTAGGCACATAGTCTCTTTGATCATGGCTTTTAGGTATTGAATTTTCTCCAAGTCATTTTCTGTCACACCCCAAACCCGCCCCTAGCAGTTTGGGCATGACCTATGCAGAAACGGGCACTTAACCTGATATATAACATAGGGGCCTGAACGGAAGCATTGATATCATAAGATAATATATAGGAAAGTATGACATCCATTGAGCTACTATTACCATGCCATGATCACATTGCAAAAAAGAGACACACATTTGAGAACTAGTTATAAGCATATATAGATCCAGCCCCAAGGTTAGGCGTAACAAAACATTATGTACATTTATCCTAAGTCAATAACTAGAATGCAAGCCATCGTCTAGCAAAACATCACAAAAATGTACAGCTTCGACCAAGTGCCTGGTTATGCTTAGGCTGACAAAAGTTTGACGATGACAGGGCTAGGACCGACTCCCAGGTTGGTTACCTACAGAAACAGACATAACATAGAGTGAGCCAGGCTTAGTGAACAATAGTACTTAAATGCGTCAATATTCAATTTAAATTGTAACACATTTAAAAGCGTAAGTAATGCAGAAATCATAAAGTTAGTCTGATTCTGTACAAATTTGCAGAACAACCTTGTCGGTTCACAACTTCACAGATTGGCCCTTGGCCTGATGGGTTCACACATTCACAAATTGGCCCTTGGCCTCATGGATTCGTAACTTCACAATTTGGCCCTTGGCCTCATGGATTCATAATTTCACAAGTTGGCCCTCGGCCTCATAGATTCATATTTCACAAGTTGGCCCTCGGCCTCATAGATTCATATTTCACAAGTTCTTTTGATGTTTCCATATTTTCACATTGTTTCTTAATTCCATAATTTCACACCGTTTCCGAAGTAGCATACATGTTAACATAAGTTCTTGCGAAGAACATAACGTCAATAACAATAATAATTAATGTGATTAAGGTACATCGATAGTACTATTACTCACTGTGTTGCTACGGGGCACTGGTTCCTCCCGAAGCGTGTCCTGCACACATTCATAACTTGTAAGTTAGTTAATTCCTCTTTGTTGAATTAGTTCCTGATTCATTCCACTTCAAACGAATTTGCAAACATCAATAGGCACAAAACACAATTTCTAAAAATATCCGAGGGTCGAGCACGCAAAATGGAGCGAACCATTTTTTATAGCTTGGGCCGCACGTGCGGCTGTGAGCCCCGCACGTGCGGAAAAGGGTCCCGCACGTGCGGCAGTGATGCCCCGCACGTGCTCTTTTAGCAGTGTTCAAGCCCAAAAATGCACCAATTCCCACACGTGCGGCCATGACTCCCGTACGTGCGGCCATGACCCCCGCATGTGCGATGATTCTGCATAATTCCTGTCCGAAATTCACTAAAAACCCTCCCTTCATACACTTATGGTAAGGCACAAGTAAGCAAATTTGGTGTACTATAATGGTTCAATAACACCATAACATGCATCAAGAATGTAATTAAGATCATCACTTCCAATTTCACATGCACAACCCATTCTTTCCATATATTTGATCTTAACTATCTACTTAGATATATAAATCATCATCTAGGTATGAAAATAACTTCCACACAACAAGTAAACTCAAGAGAAAAGAACACTAACACAAACTTGGAATTTCCAATACAACCACAAACACAATTAGACAAGAAGATATATACACACTCTTGATCTCCATTATAACTTCAACTTGAATATTGTAGAGAATTCCTCAATAAATTGCCAAGAAGCTTAGCAAAACAAAGAATACATACCTTGAACTTCAAATCTCAATGGATCCTCTTAATTCACCCAATCTTCCACTCTTGCTAGGTTTCTCTCCTACCTTTCTACCTCTCCTCTTTCAATTCCGTACAAAAGATACTTAGATTCTATTTCCATCTTTTTGATCAAGAGGCATACATATATATATAATATAAAAGAAAAAGTTATATGGGACAAAAATTGATCGTTTAATCATCCTAAATTGAAATTTCACAGCAATACTTATTATTACTTCAAAATTATGCTGATTTCAACTACAACATCAATTTTGGCTTATAAAGTCTCTGCGGCTCTCAATTTCTGATTTATCATTATAATTGTGACAGATACTTTCCTTAAAACAAGCTCTAGTCTTCCAGTGGCAAGTCCCACGATGCTGCCTTCCACAGTCTGAACACATAGGAGTGGAGTTTTGAGCCGGGGTGGTGGTGCTGGAGTTCCCTGAATTATGCTTCTTACTTGGTGGGGTTACTAACCCCTTTGACCATTGATTGTTCTGCCTCTTCCCTTTCCACTCGGAAATCCGATTCTGAGTAGCAAGGTTTCCTTCTGCTCTAACAGCCCTTTCTAACACATCGACATAAGTAGGTAGCTTCAAGATATTGACTCGGTCTAGGATAGCACCCCGTAATCCCCCTTCAAATTTTCGTGCCTTCTTATAATCCGTATCCACCATATGAGGCGCAAACCGAGCTAGTTCGGCAAATTGAGCTTCATATTCTGCAACGGTCTTACTTCCTTGTCTCAGAGTTTCAAATTCAGTCACCTTTTTATCTCGCATACTTTGGGAAAAGTACTTATCATAGAACAGCTCCAAAAATCTATCCCATGTTAAACCTTGATGCACAGTTCTCGTAAGCATCCACCATCTTCGTGCCTCGTCTTCAAGAGTGAAGGCGGCAAGTTGCACTTTCTGGACTTCGGTACAAGGAAATACTTCAAACAGTTTCTCTATTCCCAGCACCCATGCTTCAACTTTCATTGGTTCTATTCCTCCCTTGAATGACGACGGTTTCATATTTTTAAACTCCTTTGTGAGTGTAATGGTTCGGTCCTTAGCATGAAAATCTTGTACTACAGGTGGAGGTACCGGTGGCGGTGGCGGTTGTGGTTGTTGTTGCTGTTGTTGCCGCATAGTTTCTGCCATTTCCATAATCATTCTTTCCATTCTGTCCAACCTTGCAGAGGTGGCATCTTTCGGGTCTTCTGTCCTTGTTGTCACCATAATCTACACAACAATCAATTATATACCATAGACATAGTTCAAAATTTTTAGCATTAACAGAGTAGGCTTGACGTTGCCATCAATCTTTCATATACTTTCAGGATGTCATGCATGATGCCTACTCTTTTCTAGACATCCTAAAGCTCAACGGATTCGTGTGTGAGATAACAACTCGTGCTCTGATCCCACTTGTCACCCCCCTAAACCCGCCCCTAGCAGTTTGGGCATGACCTATGCAGAAATAGATACTTAACCTGATATATAACATAGGGGCCTGAACGGAAGCATTGATATCATAAGATAATATATAAAAAAGTATGACATCCATTGAGCTACTATTACCATGCCAGGATCACATTGCAAAAAGGAGACACACATTTGAGAACTAGTTATAAGCATATACAGATCCAGCCCCAAGGTTGGGCGTAACAAAACATTATGTACATTTATCCTAAGTCAATAACTAGAATGCAAGCCATCGTCTAGCAAAACATCACAAAAATGTACAGCTTCGACCAAGTGCCTGGTTATGCTTAGGCTGACAAAAGTTTGACGATGACAGGGCTAGGACCGACTCCCAGGTTGGTTACCTACAGAATCTTGTGGACTGTCAAACCAATAGCTTCACTCGTGTCCAAATCCTCTCCGCTTGCTCCATTAGGGACGGCAAAATCAAACTTGTACACAAGATTTGCCAATGCAAGCTCGTCCACTACCATGGCAAATTGAATTCCAGGATAACCCTTTCTCCCAGCACCAAATGGAATTAGCTCAAAGTCGGGCCTGAATTCCACTGGCTCATCCCATGACAATGGGTCTCTCCCAATCGCCCAAGCAATTGTAATTACTTGTGTGCCAGTTGCAATGTCATAACCCATTAACTTGACAACTCGGGTTGATCTTCGAGGAACTAGCAATGGAATAGGAGGATGTAGGCGCATAGTCTCTTTGATCACGGCTTTTAGGTATTGAATTTTCTTCAAGTCATTTTCTGTCACACCCCAAACCTGCCCCTAGCAGTTTGGGCATGACCTATGCAGAAACGGCACTTAACCTGATATATAACATAGGGGCCTGAATGGAAGCATTGATATCATAAGATAATATATAAGAAAGTATGACATCCATTGAGCTACTATTACCATGCCAGGATCACATTAAAAAAAGGAGACACACATTTGAGAACTAGTTATAAGCATATATAGAACTAGCCCCAAGGTTGGGCGTAACAAAACATTATGTACATTTATCCTAAGTCAATAACTAGAATGCAAGCCATCATCTAGCAAAACACCACAAAAATCTACGGCGTTAACCAAGTGCTTGGTTATGCTTAGGCTGACAAAAGTTTGACGGTGACAGGGCTAGGACTGACCCCCAGGTTGGTTACCTACAGAAACAGACATAACATAGAGTGAGCCAGGCTCAGTGAACAATAGTACTTAAATGCTTCAATATTCAATTTAAATTGTAACACATTTAAAAGCGTAAGTAATGCAGAAATCATAAAGTTAGTCTGATTCTGTACATATTTGCAGAACGACCTTGTCGGTTCACAACTTCACAGATTGGCCCTTGGCCTGATGGGTTCACACATTCACAAATTGGCCCTTGTCCACATGGATTCATAACTTCACAATTTAGCCCTCGGCCTCATGGATTCATAATTTCACAAGTTGGCCCTCGGCCTCATAGATTCATATTTCACCAGTTGGCCCTCGGCCTCATAGATTCATATTTCACAAGTTCTTTTGATGTTTCCATATTTTCACATTGTTTCTCAATTCCATAATTTCACACTGTTTCCCAAGTAGCATACATGTTAACATAAGTTCTTGCGATGAACATAACGTCAATAACAATAATAATTAACGTGATTAAGGTACATCGATAGTACTATTACTCACTGTGTTGCCACGGGGCACTAGTTCCTCCTAAAGCGTGTCCTGCACACATTCATAACTTGTAAGTTAGTTAATTCCTCTTTGTTGAATTAGTTCTTGATTCATTCCACTTCAAACGAATTTACAAACATCAGTAGGTACAAAATACAGTTTCTAAAAATATCCGAGGGTCGAGCATGCAAAATGGAGCGAACCATTTTTTACAGCTTGGGCCGCACGTGCGGTTGTGAGCCCCGCACGTATGGCAAAGGGTCCCGCACGTGCGGCAGTGATGCCCCGCACCTGCTTTTTTAGCAATGTTCAAGCCCAAAAATGCACCAATTCCCGCACGTGCGGCCATGACTCCCGCACGTGCAGCCAAGCTTTCCACACGTGAGGCCATGACCCCCGCACCCGCGGCAATTCTGCATAATTCCTGTCCAGAATTCACTAAAAACCCTCCCTTGATACACTTATGGTAAGGCACAAGTAAGCAAATTTGGTGTACTATAATGGTTCAATAACACCATAACATGCATCAAGAAGGTAATTAAGATCATCACTTCTAATTTCACATGCACAACCCATTCTTTCCATATATTTGACCTTAACTATCTACTTAGATATGTAAATCATCATCTAGGTGTGTAAATAACTTCCACACAACAAGTAAACTCAAGAGAAAAGAACACTAACACAAACTTGGAATTTCCAATACAACCACAAACACAATTAGACAAGAAGATATATACACACTCTTGATCTCCATTATAACTTCAACTTGAATATTGTAGAGAATTCCTCAATAATTTGCCAAGAAACTTAGCAAAACAAAGAATACATACCTTGAACTTCAAATCTCAATAGATCCTCTTAATTCACCCAATCTTCCACTCTTGCTAGGTTTCCCTCCTACGTTTCTACCTCTCCTCTTTCAATTCCATACAAAAGATACTTAGATTCTTTTTCTATCTTTTTGATCAAGAGGCATACATATATATATATATATATAATATATAAAAAAAAAGTTATATAGGACAAAAATCGATCGTTTAATCATCCTAAATTGAAATTTCACAACAATACTTATTATTACTTCAAAATTATGCTGATTTCAATTACAACATCAATTTCGGCTTATCAAGTCTCTGTGGCTCTCAATTTCTAATTTATCATTCTAATTGTAACAGATACTTTCCTTACCAAACAGATAGGCTCAATTCATAAGTTCCATGTACTTAAACTTAATTTCTCATGATGTCCTTTCATTGGGGTGACTTTTACGAACACATGACTATTCACTTCAAATTCTAAATCCTTTCGTCGGTTATCCGCATAACTCTTCTATCTACCTTGGGCAGTTTTCAGTCTTTCTTGAATAATCTTAACCTTTTCAGTCGTCAACTGCACAATTTTAGGCCCTAGCAATGATCTATCCCTAACTTCGGCCCAACACACGGGGGAACGACACGGTCTCCCATATAGAGCTTCATAAGGTGCCATTTCAATACTCGAATGGTAACTATTGTTGTGTGTAAACTCTACTAACGGTAGATGGGTTTCCCAACTTTCTTGAAAATCCAGCACACACATTCAGAGCATATCTTCTAGAGTTTGTATTGTTCTCTCGGATTGACCGTTAGTCTGTGGGTGAAAAGCGGTGCTGAACTTTAATTCTGTACCCATTGCTTCCTGTAGACTCTGCCAGAATCTCGAAACAAACTTTGGATCCCTATCTGACACAATTGAGACCGGAACACCATGAAGCCTAACAATTTCATTCACATAAATTACCGCAAGTTTATCTGCATTATACTGAGTCTTCACTGGAAGGAAGTGAGCGGACTTAGTTAACCGGTCTACAATGACCCATATAGAATTCATACCTCGAGGAGTCCGTGGTAGCCCCACAACAAAATCCATGGTCAAATGTTCCCACTTCCATTCCGGGATTGGAAGGGGTTGCAACAGTCCTGCTGGTCTCTGATGTTCTGCCATCACTTGCTGACACTCTAGACATTTAGAAACGAATTTTACAATCTCCTTTTTCATACCTGGCCACCAAAAGTTTTGTTTCAAATCCTGGTACATTTTGGTACTTCCTGGGTGCATCGAAAACCTCGAGGCATGTGCTTCTTCCATTAGTTTCCGTTTAAGTTCCAACACATTAGGGACACATATTCTATTTTGAAACTTGAGCACTGGATCCACTAAACTGAACCCCGGTTTTGGTTTTGTCTCGAACTCATCACACACTTTCTGTAGTGTTTCATCTTCCATTTGACGTAGTTTGATCTTTTCAAGTAAGGTTGGTTGAGCTATCATAGCTGCTATTACAACTTCCTGTCCACGTATCACAAGATCCACATCCATTTTAGCTAATTCAATCACCAACTCATTTTGCTTCTTAAATAGATTTACCAAATGTCCCCTACTTTTCCGACTAAGCGCATCTGCAACTGTGTTGGCTTTACCAGGATGGTAATGAATCTATAAATCATAGTCTTTAATTAGCTCTAACCAGCGCCGTTGTCGCATATTCAACTTTTTCTGAGTAAAAAGGTACTTGAGACTTTTGTGATCGGTACAAACTTCGCAAGTAGTGCCATACAGATAATGCCGCCATATCTTTAAAGAATAAACTACTGCTGCTAGCTCAAGGTCATGTGTGAGATAATTCTTTTCACGGGGTTTCAACTGTCGAGAGGCATAAGCGATAATTCTTCCATTTTACATAAGTACACAACCAAGCCCTTTATACGAAGCATCACTGCAGATTACAAACCCTTCGGTACCGGATGGTAAGGCCAGAACTGGTGCTGTAGTCAACTTTGTTTTCAACTCCTGGAAGGCAACTTCCTGCTCTTCTGACCATTCAAATGCAACTCCCTTTCGAGTCAATTATGTAAGCGACACAACGATTTTGGAAAAATCTTGAACAAACCTCCTGTAATAACCGGCTAGTCCCATAAAACTGCGTACCTCAGTCACATTGGTAGGAGTTGGCCAATTCACGATCGCTTCAATTTTGTGTGGATCTACAGAGACTCCATCCTTTGTTATTACATGGTCCAGAAATGCTACCTCATGTAGCCAGAATTCACATTTCTTTAGTTTTGCGTATAACTTCTTCTCTCGAAGTGTTTGAAGAATTAGTCAAAGATGATTCTCGTGAGCCTCTGCACTCTTTGAGTATATAAGGATATCATCGATAAAGACTACCACAAACTCGTCCAGATAAGGCTTAAAGACACGATTCATTAGATCCATAAACGCTACCGGTGCGTTAGTTACTCCAAAAGGCATAACCAGAAATTCATAATGACCGTATCGGGTTCGGAAAGCTGTCTTCTCCACATCCTCAGCTTTGACCTTCAATTGATGGTATCCAGACCGTAGATCAAGTTTTGAGAAAACTTGTGCTCCTTGTAGCTGGTCAAATAAATCGTCAATCTGTGGTAAAGGGTACTTGTTTTTGATTGTTACCTTGTTGAGTTCCCTATAATCAATACATAGCCGAAGTGTTCCGTTACAAATAAAACTGGAGCACCCCAAGGAGATACACTCGGACGGATGAATCCCTTATCAAGCAAATCCTGTAACTGAATCTTTAATTCTTTCATTTCAACTGGCGGCATCCTATACGGAGTCTTAGAAATGGGTTGAGTTCCCGACGCCACGTCAATTATAAACTCAATTTCACGGTCTATCAACTGCCCTGGTAATTCTTCGGGAAAAACATTCGAAAATTCACGAACAACTGGAATCATGTTGATATCCCCGTTCATCATTTGCCCCTCCAAAACACTGTAGAAATACCCCTGGCACCGTTTTTGAATTAACTTACAAGCCTTTTACTGCAGAAATCAAATAAGGTGGAGAAATCACTTCTTGTCCCTGAACAATAGACTCTGATTGTCCCGGAGGGTGGAAACTGATTTGCTTAGTTAAGCAGTTTATAGTTACACCATAATCACTCAGCCAATCCATTCCTAGAATAACATCAAAATAGGTCATGTCGAGAGGTAACAGATTAGCATACACCCGAATCTCCCCAAGTTGGAGTTCACAAGCTAAGTATACAGAAGCACAGATCATAGAGTCTCCCAAAGGTGAAGACACACACAACATATAAGGCAAGTTTTCTTCAGTTTTATCTAGATTAGGAGCAAATAGTTTTGACACAAAAGAGTGGATGGAGCCAGAATTAAACAATACATGAGTAGAATGACCGTGAACAATAAATGTACCTGACACCATTGTTGCCGCATTTTGTACATCTCTCGGAACCAATGTGAACACCTGCCTTGCCTCACAGTATTTTTATTGTTAGTAGGTTTAGCAGCTGTCTTCGTGTTGGGGGTTGGTGTAGACCCCACGGAACTTGTAGTAGTCCTATTGCCCTTTTGTGGAGTCCATTGCGGGCAATCCCTTACCAGATGACCCGTTTTGCCACACTTAAAACAAGCTCCAGTCTTCCAGTGGCAAGTCCCACGATGCTGCCTTCCACAGTCTGAACACGCAGGAGTGGAGTTTTGAGCCGGGGTGGTGGTGCTGGAGTTCCCTGAATTATGCTTCTTACTTGGTGGGGGTGACTAACCCCTTTGACCATTGATTGTTCTGCCTCTTCCCTTTCCACTCGGAAATCCGATTCTGAGCAGCAAGGTTTCCTTCTGCTATAACAGCCCTTTCTAACACATCGACATAAGTAGGTAGCTTCAACATATTGACCCGGTCTAGGATAGCACCCCGTAATCCCCCTTCAAATTTTCGTGCCTTCTTATAATCCGTATCCACCATATGAGGCGCAAACCGAGCTAGTTCTGCATATTGAGCTTCATATTCTGCAACGGTCTTACTTCCTTGTCTTAGAGTTTCAAATTCAGTCACCTTTTTATCTCGTATACTTTGGGGAAAGTACTTATCATAGAACAGCTCCAAAAATCTATCCCATGTTAAACCTTGATGCACAGTTCTCGTAAGCATCCACCATCTTCGCGCCTCGTCTTCAAGAGTGAAGGCGGCAAGTTGCACTTTCTGGACTTCGGTACAAGGAAATACTTCAAACAGTTTCTCTATTCCCAGCACCCATGCTTCAACTTTCATTAGTTCTATTCCTCCCTTGAATGACGGCGGTTTCATCTTTTTAAACTCCTTTATGAGTGTAATGGTTCGGTCCTCAGCATGAAAATCTTGTACTACAGGTGGAGGTACCGGTGGCGGTGGCAGTGGCGGTTGTGGTTGTTGTTGCTATTGTTGCCGCAAAGTTTCCGCCATTTCCATAATCATTCTTTCCATTCTGTCCAACCTTGCAGAGGTGGCATCTTCCGGGTCTTCTGTCCTTGTTCTCACCATAATCTACGCAACAATCAATTATATACCATAGACATAGTTCAAAATTGTTAGCATTAACAGAGTACGCTTGACGTTGCCATCAATCTTTCGTATACTTTCAGGATGTCATGCATGATGCCTACTCTTTTCTAGACATCCTAAAGCTTAACGGATTCGCGTGTGAGATAGCAACTCGTGCTCTGATACCACTTGTCACACCCCAAACCCGCCCCTAGCTGTTTGGGCATGACCTATGCAGAAACAGACACTTAACCTGATATATAACATAGGGGCCTGAACGGAAGCATTGATATCATAAGATAATATATAAGAAAGTATGACATCCATTGAGCTACTATTACCATGCCAGGATCACATTGCAAAAAGGAGACACACATTTGAGAACTATTTATAAGCATATATACAGATCCAGCCCCAAGGTTGGGCGTAACAAAACATTATGTACATTTATCTTAAGTCAATAACTAGAATGCAAGCCATCATCTAGCAAAACACCACAAAAATCTACGGCGTCAACCAAGTGCCTGGTTATGCTTAGGCTGACAAAAGTTTGACGGCGACAGGGCTAGGACCGACCCCCAGGTTGGTTACCTACAGAAACAGACATAACATAGAGTGAGCCAGGCTCAGTGAACAATAGTACTTAAATGCTTCAATATTCAATTTAAATTGTAACACATTTAAAAGTGTAAGTAATGCAGAAATCATAAAGTTAGTCTGATTCTGTACAAATTTGCAAAACGACCTTGTCGGTTCACAACTTCATAGATTGGCCCTTGGCCTGATGGGTTTACACATTCACAAATTGGCCCTTGGCCTGATGGATTCGTAACTTCACAATTTGGCCCTCCGCCTCATGGATTCATAATTTCACAAGTTGGCCCTCGGCCTCATAGATTCATATTTCACAAGTTAGCCCTCGGCCTCATAGATTCATATTTCACAAGTTCTTTTGATGTTTCCATATTTTCACATTTTTCTCAATTCCATAATTTCACACCGTTTCCCAAGTAGCATACATGTTAACATAAGTTCTTGCGAAGAACATAACGTCAATAACAATAATAATTAACGTGATTAAGGTACATCGATAGTACTATTACTCACTGTGTTGCCACGGGGCACTAGTTCCTCCCAAAGCGTGTCCTGCACACATTCATAACTTGTAAGTTAGTTAATTCCTCTTTGTTGAATTAGTTCCTGATTCATTCCACTTCAAACAAATTTACAAACATCAGTAGGCACAAAATACAATTTCTAAAAATATCCGAGGATCGAGCACGCAAAATGGAGCGAACCATGTTTTACAGCTTGGGCCGCACGTGGGCTATGAGCCCCGCACGTGCGGCAAAGGGTCCCGCACGTGCGGCAGTGATGCCCCGCACCTGCTTTTTTAGCAATGTTCAAGCCCAAAAATGCACCAATTCCCGCACGTGCGGCCATGACTCCCGCACGTGCAGCCAAGCTTTCCACACGTGAGGCCATGACCCCCGCACCCGCGGCAATTCTGCATAATTCCTGTCCAGAATTCACTAAAAACCCTCCCTTGATACACTTATGGTAAGGCACAAGTAAGCAAATTTGGTGCATTATAATGGTTCAATAACACCATAACATGCATCAAGAATGTAATTAAGATCATCACTTCCAATTTCACATGCACAACCCATTCTTTCCATATATTTGATCTTAACTATCTACTTAGATATATAAATCATCATCTAGGTGTGTAAATAACTTCCACACAACAAGTAAACTCAAGAGAAAAGAACACTAACACAAACTTGGAATTTCCAATGCAACCACAAACACAATTAGACAAGAAGATATATACACACTCTTGATCTCCATTATAACTTCAACTTGAATATTGTAGAGAATTCCTCAATAAATTGCCAAGAAGCTTAGCAAAACAAAGAATACATATCTTGAACTTCAAATCTCAATAGATCCTCTTAATTCACCCAATCTTCCACTCTTGTTAGGTTTCTCTCCTACCTTTCTACCTCTCCTCTTTCAATTCCATACAAAAGATACTTAGATTCTTTTTCCATCTTTTTGATCAAGAGGCATACATATATATATAATATACAAGAAAAAGTTATATAGGACAAAAATCGATCGTTTAATTATCCTAAATTGAAATTTCACAGCAATACTTATTATTACTTCAAAATTATGCTGATTTCAACTACAACATCAATTTCGGCTTATCAAGTCTCTGCGGCTCTCAATTTGTAATTTATCATTCTAATTGTGACAGATACTTTCCTTACCAAACAGATAGGCTCAATTCATAAGTTCCATGTACTTAAATATAATTTCTCATGAAATTTTTCCTTAAGGATTTAAATGCACAGAATAAGGGACTAAAAATATACCAGAATCACATACGAGGGTCGGGTTACAGTTTTGAATCTAATCTCACATAGTGCAATGTGAAACTGATAAACACCAAAGAGTCCAAGATGGCAAATCATTTTGGAAAATTGATTTTGAATCCAATAATGTCAAAATTGGACTGCTTTTCCAGATTACAAAGTCACCACCTAAATATTTTATTTTTGGAAAATTTATGAAACCCTGACTTGTGCCAAAAGTCACGTGTCCGTCATCACCAAAGTTGCCTCGGCTTGGGAACTTGGGTACGAGAAGGGAAGGTCCTGAAATGAGACCCCCGCTTGCCCAATCAAAGATCGGCCTCTACTAATCATGATATGTTATTTTATAAACCTCGTGTGTTCTTATTCCGATTATTAGCTAACTTTACTATGTGACACACACAAGAAAGTATAGACTAAAATTGCAAGATTTGGAACGAATTCAACTCATGTTTGCTTTCGAAAATGGTTTGAATTTGCCACCCTCAAGTGGGCTTAGAAATGCGGATTTGCCATCAAACATGATGGGCTTAAAACATGATTTGCCACTTCGCAAAGTGGGCTTAAAACATACATTCGTTGAACTGTTCCAATTCAAACAATCTAACCTTTATCCACAGGCATTCAGGCAGTTAATCATTTAAGTACATAGCCTCATGGTAAGCATGCGAAACATGGCATTATGGCAATCGCACTCATGCAAGTATGCTAAAGCATAAAACTCACCGAGTACTCTAAGCCAAAACAAAAACTAGTTAGAAAGATGCATGATCCTAACTATGTTAAGTGTCTAATGCAAGACATGCAATAATGTAATAAAATAGGCTTGGCTACCTAATCATGGTATTTGCAACACTTTGATAGCATGCTTTGAAACACGTATTCAAAGAAGTATTGAAATCGACAATGCAGTTTGAATGATGCGCCGAGCCTGGGTGCATGCAAGATGAATGAATGATGCAAACATGCAAGCATAAGGTATGCTAATCTAAACATGATCCCTAATCTAACCATTGAAAGCGGTTAAATAAAAGGGAGAAAGACGTGCGGTTAGAAGACACACACACAGACACACACTTATTACAACATTATGCCATCGCGAAGGAGGGTCCAACTGAATAAGCTAAGCTAAGCTAATTATTACAAAAAAAAAAAAAAACTAATTAACTATTCTAGTTAACTAATTATTACAACACAATTGAATAACTAGCTATGCTAAGCTAATTAAAATACAACACTTGAATTGAATAATTAGCTACGCTAACTAACAGTTTAAACAAAGCAAGTAAATGGTCTCGAAGGCGAGGGGCGCATGCATGCTCAATTGCTCCGCCGGAAAATGCCCTTGCCTTGCCATCGGATGCCTCTGTTTGCACTCGTTTGATCTTTGAAAACTATACCAACTTCCAGATTGCCTCTGCTTCAACACAAGAACACATTTGTACAAAAATTCACTGGTGGCCGATCGACCACAAAAAGTGGCTGGCGGCCACCTCAACTAGCCGGTCGGCTAGTTTAAGTGGCCGATCGGCCACCCCTATTTCTAGACTTCTGCTTTTGCTGCAACAGAGAGCAAATAGAGGCAAAGCAATGCATTTTCAAAAAAATGTGTATACTGCTACCCTCCTTATCATCTCTCAAGCCTAAAGGAGTGTAGCTCTTTCCTCTTAAGCCATCAATCAAGCATTTTCAATGCATGATGGCCAAAGAGCTAAGCTTGTACAAGGTCAATGAATGCACAAACAAGACCAAAACAACCATCACCCTATCATGCATGATCAAGGGTGACAGTGACCAAGAAAAATGACACGTTTCATCACTTTGAGTATGAAACATCCCATTTTCCTTGTGTTTGGATTAACGTCCGATCCAAACACATGCAATGCAACACAAAGATGCTTATCTTGCTTCTTTTACTTTGTTCATTTTGTTTACACATTTTAGATTACCAATCCATTCTTTAGTTGATTAGTCCAAAGGTGAATGTCCTCTAATTGAAAGTGGACTTAAACCACAAGCACCTTGAGCATGAAAGAGGCCTCATGCTATTGGTAATGAACTCCCGAAGGAATTAAACCATTAGGTATGAGGGTCTCAATTCCACACTCAAGCCAACAAGGGGTTCGAAGTCACTTTCAAAACAAAGTAAAGAGTGAAGAATAGAGGGAGATTGCAGATATTTCAGTGCTAACATGGCATGTAAAATGACACTAAATCATGCAAGCAACACATGCAAGTCATGTTTAAGAGCCTAACTCATTAAGCTAGTGAAGACTATTACACTATAGCCATGCAATACAAGCCTCAAAGTGCCAAACCAACTCAAAATAGAGTTGAAACCAGTCAAAACAGTGGCTAAACACATGCTGAGATTAAGGCACGAAAGGCTTGAAAAACATGCTCACA